TGGCGGCAGCCCGTAAATATGTATGTGTATATATATATATACAACAAACTGGTAGAAAGATTGATTTCGGTAACAGTGACTTCCAACAATTTACTGGATACGACTGTATCATTGGTGAGTTTCTGCACTACAATCAACACTGTCTTTCTTTCGGCAGGGTTCTGGGAGGGGGAAGAACACTGTCTCTCTCCCTCTCTCTCGATGCCGATGCCCGCCTCTGCCGCATCGGCGAGGGGCTTTGAGGCCTCTCAGACCCACCGGCTCGCATACATCCGTATAGAGGCTCCAAGCCATGAAATCAAGCTTCGGAAACCGCTGAAGTGCTTCTGGCCTGATGGCCATGACACCGGCTAGGTCACTTCTCGTGGCCGCATAATTCGTAAAACAGCTTTCAGAGTTCACGGCAAGTCCACATCGTGCACGAAGAGTCTACAGGCTTTGGGGTGCAACATCGGCTCACAGACTCTTGGGGGGCTCGGGAAATGACGATGCCTCCAAATCCTCGCCCGATCCATTCTTGAATGCCTCGACAGTGGGCGCACTCTTGCTTCGCTGCTCTGATACATTATACTATAAATATATTCTCGTAAGTTCTCCAAAGATCGCAACGTCATTGTCTTCTGACTAAGTTGAGCCCAGAACCACAAAAGTGACGAGCAGCTGGGTTTTGGTCAGGGTGGCAAAACTCTTCTTGACCCGGTCACTCTTTGCACAACTTCGTGGAGTTTTGTCGAGGCACGTACAGGAAGCCTCCGAGTGAAGTGGAAAATTTGATTTGACACCGCCGATAGAACTTGACACATCTCCTGTCCAATGCGAACACATACACAACAACCGCAACGACGAGTCTCAGGCTTTGTTCCCGCTCCACAGACGCAGGATGAACAGCAACTTGCGGATGCCTGGAGGGCGATGGATGGTGGTGGATGTAAGGCTTGGCCCTTGAACACGGGACTTGAAGATCGATTTCCGGATTCAGTTTGTCGTTGCATGGGGCCTTGCTGGCTCGTACCATCGTCGCTGATGAGAGGAGGGGCTTGCAGTCAAGACCCTTATCGTTTGACTCCAAGCCCTGACAGCCTAAACCCTTCGTTGCAAAACTGGACCTGCTTGATGTCAACAGGTGCCAGAAGTAACACACCCAGGCCGCTTACATGCTGTTGGCACCGTAAACGAACGGTCTCCTGAGCCGGGTTGGTGCAAAAGCCAAACAAGGCTTTTTTTCTTATGGGCCGGGTCCTCGCGTGTACCCCCTTGGAGGGACAGGTTCGGGAGGCAAGTGCTGCACCTACCTCTCTAGCCTTGCCGTGGATTTGCAGCAGAAGTTCTCGATACACTCCCAAGCACGGGGGGGAGTTCTGTGCGCTTGGACTTTACGAGCCTTGAACCGCTTGCTGCCGAAACTCCTTCAAGCAGCCGCCCATAATATACTGCAACACTCCATAGAGGACGATAGGACTACACTGCGGTATACACTGAAGACTGTAATAATTCCATAATGCTCTGCTGACCAGGAACTTTTCAGATGATCATCGGACAGGAGCTCTTCCTGCCATTGGTGCTTGAGCGCAGGAGGTGTCTGAAGTCTTAAGGTCTTTTGGCAATGCAAAGGTCATCGGCACCCACAATTACATCTCGAAGGAGCCTACAAGTTACAAGACGATAAGCCCAGGGGCTTTGGAACCCGTTATGCATCGAAGCTCGTGTTACCTTTGCGTTCTGTCGGGTCGCTGAGTCAATTCGGTCCCAATTCCAGGCTGTGTCTCCCGGCATGCTGGGGTCTTTTTGCTGCTGAAGTGCTTATGCGCGGCAGTCGTATCTGAGGCTCTCGGGGTGCAACGGGCTCATGATGCTTTGTTCAGAGTTCTTCCCGCGCGGGAAAACTAAGCTGAAGATTAAACACCGCTACTGCGAACACGGGCCTCCTGCTCCCATGACCGAATAATCTTTTTAATTGTAGGGTGGAGGCAGACCTCATCCACGTCGAACTCGCCGCCCTTTTCAACTGGCCTGCAAGGTCGGCAACCCAAAATCGCCGAATGATGCTTCTGGGGCGCAATCTCCACCCACATGCGAGCATTTCAAGCTTTGAGGGTTCACAGTACACCAAAGCAACTGGGTCCGTGGCAACTCCTCTTCACCTTCAGGGCAACGTAGTGTATGCTAAGCTGGCTGCGCAAGTTTCACATGTTACATGCAAACTAACTTCGAGTTCCTAGGCTTGACTCCGGCTTGTTTTCCTAGGCCTAGCCATGTTGGTGCGCTCAAGATGCTTTTTCGAGAAGAAACACAGTAGTCTGCAGCATTTTCAGTCTGTGAGGGCACCGAAGTCTTTCGATGACAGCATATGTGGCAGCCGAATGTTCAAAGACAGGGCATTTTACTGCATCTCGTCTCTGACGCTTAGATAGTTACAAGTTGCCCTCTTGATTGCTCTGGTATGTTGAGACTTACTTCCTTTCTCCCTTGCCCCTTTACTTCCTGCATTCCTGCCCCACGACCAAGGGTATGAGCTCAGCCTAGCTCCGAGATCCCTCCCGGTTAGAATCTTCTCCGGCGAGAAACCTCTTCAGACTCCTAGCCGCCCTCTCGCCTCGCCTTCTTGCGGCTCTTCGGGTTCTTCAGGCTCCATCTCAGGGGCATGCTCGGCGGTCTTGGCAGTCTCCATCCGCTGGACAGTCAATCCCATGGCCGACATCTCCTCCGAGTCCGTTTCGCGCCCCTTCCGTGATCCTTGCGTCCGTGAAGTCGGTGATCCACCCAGTCCGGCTTGCGTCCCCTTTGGAGACGCGGGTCCGCAACCCATCACAGTGAGACCGTCGGACAGCCCCGGTGCACCTGTCTCATGCGTGGAGCTGCCCACCGCGTTGCGGATGGCTTTCTCCACGGCACTGTTGCAAGCGGCCTGTGACTTTTCGGAAGCTGGTGACATCCTCGGATCTCCAGGAAGAGATAGTCTGTTCGATCTCGTGCGTCGCAGACTGACTTACTGCAGCTCCTGCCGGATGCAAGCCTTCGTGCCTCCTGTCATGCTTACATATCCCGGGCAACTACCAGCACGTCAGTTTCAACCTTGCGCAATGCAACGCAGCCGAGCGTCATGGTCAGTACACCCAAGACACCCAACTTGTCCTCAGCGCATGGATGCACAAAGATCTGCAGCAAGCATCATCTTCTTTCTAGCTATCTCAGGCCCAGCGTTGGGGTTCTGGCACAGACTCCCTGGCTGGGAAAGCTGCGTAGTCACTTGCCAAAGGCAGTGTGCTGCATTGTAGACTCACTAGCCCTGCCGAGTTGTGAACTGCCGAAGCAGTCTGAAAAGCCCATCGCCCAACCCTGACACTGATCCCCCCTCGGCGCTTAGGTCCCAGGCCAGTGCGCGCTTGCACTGCGTTGCGAAGCCCTGAGAGCGCTCCTCGCAAAAGAAAGGTTGGCAAAAGGCAGGTGTCTCCATCATGCAGACTGGGACATAAGATAACATAATTCGAATGGTACCAGACTCTTCGTGGTTCCTACCTGACCACTCTTCAACCGTGAAGGGCAGCAACATGTCCACAAACTGCGAGCATCTGCGCTTCTTTCTTCGGTGTCATCTCGCTGCCATAGCGGGTCTTCACAGTGCAGTCTGCGAGAGGACTCGCGTGAAAACCTGCGATCTGTGCATCCGACGCCACATCTGCGAAAGCATCAACGAGCTCGTTGCGCAGCTGCCGTCACTTTCATCTCGGACTTGTCCCTCTCGCGCCAACCTGGATTGCCCCGGGAGTTACTAAGTGGCTAATGAGGCTAATGGTTCAATGGTAATATTGTGGTGCGATTTGCGCGTTTGTAAGTCGTGCAAAAACCATCGTATCATCATTATTTATCGATCCTCGCTCTTGTCAGCCATGTTGCTGGCATTGTCCAAGCTGCCTCTATCCACGCCTTGGCATCGACCGTTCGAGTCCTTCAGGGGGGCCAGAGCTTGGCTGGATTCGTGATGCCCCATAATCTGCTAACCACGACGGTCCGTCAGCTGGGCCACAAAGCCCCAAAGCTTGTCGGCCGGGAGTCGACCACGGGCCGCCGCATGATAACGCTTCACCTTATCGATTTTGGGATACTGCAAAGACAGCTCACCAGCAGATGGCTGCCCGGTTCCTCCCGACTACGGCTCCCAGCATTTCGAAGGCATACCTCGCTAGATCACCTCCTCTACCATCCAGGATGTTCCCTGGAGTCCGGATGCTCTTGAAGAGGCCAACTCCGATCATTGAACCTTGACACCTTAACCGTAAACTCCGGCTCTAGAGTCTAGAGGTTCTCATGCGTGGCTTCGGCAGGCTCAGGGGACGCCAAGCGCCAAGTGCAAAACCCCCAAAACCTCCGGAACGTCCATTGCCAGGATGCCAGATTAGCAACCGACTCAGCGGGCTCGTCTACCAACTCCAAGCGGAGAAAGCCTGCAAGTCCCAAAGCACAAATAAACCGTTTTCGTGCTGTCTGCTTCTTTGCCCGAATACCGTACCAGTCATTTCGGACGCTACAAACGAATTTTGAAACACCCTTCAGGAAGCTGGCTCAGCAGTGGTGCTTTCGTAGCCAATCCATGCATCTCATTCACCGAACGTCGGGCTTGAACATCGCGCAGACATGCATGCACTGGCGGCTTGACTGTCCCGAACAGCTGACCGAATGCTCGTGTTGGGATAGGGCATAGGGGCAAGTAGCAAAGAAACCCAGCCCCACTGGCCTCCTGATTAATAACCCGCCCCTGCGCATCCCGAATCCGGATCAGTGGTCGGGGGGTCCGCCCCATTATTATGTTTTTTTTTTTTTTTTT